TGAACGGCCATATATTGTCGACATTTCTCTTCCTTCTCCTTCTGTTTCTCCAACTGTTTTTGCAAATCTGTCTTCACTTTCACTCTTCCGTGCTATCAATCAATTCAACCGTTTATTCATTAAAAAATCCTACAATTATTGACGGCTTTAATTGCTTACCATTTTTTGACAACAATTTCTAAAACTAAACCAATCGTCAAATTAGAGTCAATTTGTTTGCAATAGTAATGCAATCAAAACTAAACCCTCTTTACATAAAAAGTGTTATGAAATGCACAAAATGTGTTCACTTTTGAGAGTAAACTAACACTAAAACTAAATTCATTGAAAGCAATGAAAAGTTTGATTGACTCAATTGTGTGCCTCACTTCAAATTGATCATCATTTGCACTCATATACTGGACATTGGGCTTACTCTTGGCTTAACTGTAGGCTTATGTGTTCGCCCCCACAACACCCCCCACAACACCCCCCACAACACCCCCACCCACTGCCTGTAACACAGAGTTTGCTGTTATACTGATTGAGAGTAGAGTTGTATTGAGTTGTGATAACAATAGTGTATCATAATTCCAATGAATTTTAAATATCCGGACGTAATTTTTTTCGTACCATTTGCATTGAAATGTATTGATGTGTCTTTTTCGACACTGGTTTGCTTTCAATACATTTCAATGCAAATGGTACGAAAAAAATTACGTCCGGATATTTAAAATTCATTGGAATTATAATATGAATTGGTGAGCAATAGATGGCTAATAGAGTGAGCGAATGGTCTCTCACTGTATGCCTGAGTGTGCGGTGGGTTTGGAAGGCGTTTGTATGCGATATGGAGTGCATTGCAGTCGAGTGTAGAGAGTGTTAGCGATTGCTCTCTGTTTGCAGTGTTTGTAGAGTTGTCTCAATGTCTCTGACGTGGAGAACAACTGATTCGCTATAATTATCGGACCATTGATTACAAGACACACTCACAGACATTGACAACACGTTTACCACAATCTCATCCATTAGATTATGACCAATAAAAGCCATCGACGGCTCGTCTGTCTCCTCATCGTATGTCTCATACCGGAGACCATCAGTGATGAACACTCGCACACCGTATGTATTGATGAGCTGATCCATCCATTCCTCTCTAACCATTGAATGTCATTATCTGTGTTATGATTAGTACGAAGACAACGAAGAGGTGGTGCTGTGGATGAATACAGTCGGGCCCTATCATAATCGACAGGAGACTTACAGCTACTTCTCATTGCCTTTCTGTTGGGGCACTAAGAAAGGTCTGTCACGACTTGATCCACACGCCATTCTTGTACACCTAATGCTAATCTTATATCTCTATTGACCAAAAGCTATATCCCATTATCACGAGACTCTCGGAGAGG